ATATATATATATATATAATCACATAACTATTTTTTCCTTTATAAAAACATGCAGTATTTTTTTAGACTTAAAATCCTCCAGAATGTGTGTGTGTGTGTGGAGGGGGTTATAAAAGAATGGTTAGCATGTGTACAGAAAGAGATATGGGAATAGAGTCCTTGCTCAATTCTAAGATTTGCCATGTAGGCAAAGTATTTAATTGAGCTTATTTGCAAAGGTGAACCAGGATGTCATGATAAACTATCATAGTAGTTTGAGATCAGTTAGTTAGGAGAACAATAATTGAGTGAAATAGATGACTTAGTATTGGAAAAGCAGTGTGGTAGAATGATTAACACGTTGGGTTAGGACCAAGGAGACCAAATGTCTAATTATTCTTTGGTTATGGTAGCTCAACTGTTGACACTTGGGCTGATCAGTTTCTTTCGGTCTAAGTCTCTGAAAGTACTGAGTACAATGCCTTGAGCTCCTAAATGAAAGGCATGGTAGAAATGTAACAAACAAATTATATTAATATGCAGCAATTGTAGCTAACTAATGAAAGCAGAATTTAGGAAGAAAGGTTTGAAACCATTTTGAGATAAAATGTATTGTCAAGTTTAGACTAAGTCCAGTAACTGATTTAAGTAGGTAGTCACTGGTAGAGAAAAGTAGCTCCTGGAGAAGGTGGCTTCAACCAGAAGTAAATTCTTGTAGGAATCTAGGAAAAATGAAAATCAGGGGAGGATTATTTCTTATAATGCTCACAATAAGCAGTGAGGATACTTACAATAAGTAGTAGGTTGTCAAAAAGGAAGTGAAAGAGAATGTGTTGGAGGGAGAGAAAGATTAATGTCGCTTAAAAAATAAATCACACTGTTGGTATGCAAGGCCAAAGTGCTGTTTAAGATCATTTTCCCTAAGATTACAAGAGCTATTTTACTATTTGATTAGGTTGACTGTGTCTCTTAATGCTAAAGTGAGACAGCATCAGTTACAATGCTTTGATGTTATAGTCAAATTCAGTACTATTCTCATTTAGGATTAGAATGCCAAATCTATTCAATAAAAATGTTACATAAGGTGTATTAAAAGTTGAATTGGTTTGTTCAAAATACAAGTATTATACATTTTATCCAGGCAATTTATGCAATTATTGGTATATCAAACCAAAGTTCCACAACCTTTCCGACTTTGTGGACCAGCGGGGGGAGGGGGAGGGCAAGGATGGTTCTGTGTGAGTGACCAGCAAGCACGCATGCACATGCAGGTCCATTTGTGTGAGCAGCAGACACACATACCTGCTGCTTGCACAAATGGAGTGGACATGCTTGCCTGCTGTTCGTGCAAGAGAGGATGTGCATGTGCTGCTTTCGCAGCCCACTTCTGAAAGACTCACGGTAGTAGTGGACTGCAGCCTGGGGGTTGGGGACCCTGTATCAAACAAATTCCATATAAACATTACAGACTTATTTCTCTGAAACATAGAATTTGAATGAGAAGGCAGATAAATAATTCTATGTGATGCTCACAAAACTATCACAACCTCTTACTTGTTTTACCAAAAAAACCTATAACAAAGCATTTCTATTTTCTATTTATGACAATAAAGCCCAAGTTATGATGGATTATAAATCTACTTTTAAAAATATTTTTGTTATTATTTGCTAGCTCAGATTGAGCACTGTGTTAGAGGCATCTAAAGTTTTTGTGCTTCCTGTGAAATCAGGCAAAAGCAAAATTTACCATAAAGAATATTAATACCCATTAACAATGTGAGCAGCTTCTGCTGATAGAGTATGCTGATAAAAATGATCAAAGACCACAATTACCTAGGAATAAGATTCACTGAATATAATGAGATTTATGTAAATGTTTATAAGGTTGCGCTGCACAAGTAGGATGTCTTCAGAACCCTCCAAAGAAACAAAGCTTAACATCTCATCTTGAAACAGAGAATAAACCTAGAAACATTTCTAATTTATGAATCATAATTATAATTTGTGATTCTGTTGTTTGCACTGATGTTTCAGAGTAAGTTTTGAAGTTATGGACTTGTTCATTTGCTAACATTTTCTTTTGTAATATTATGGCAGCATAGAGTATTGATTAATTGTAGAAATAAAGCATATGTGTGCATTTGCCAAAGTTCATGCTGATAAGAGTGCATTTGCTGCAATTGTGGCAGATTTAAAGAAATATCTAGGTTATGACTTAAAAGTTTAAAAACTAATTAAGGAGGTTACAGTGTAACTATTTTGGTACTAGCACCAGTTCATGCTGGCAGAACAGACAATGGTTTATGGACTTGCATCCATTTTGTATTTTTGTAATATTTGTAAATAGAACTTTTTAAATTGTTTCTTTTTGTAAAATGTTTTCAAAGTTTACATTAAAACCAAGCCAGTTTGTATATTTTAGAACTGTGCAACACTTTACGTCTTGTATTTATTTTTAGTAAAACAGTGACAGTTTCAGTGTGACTCCCCTCTCTAAAATGTGTCAAAAAAAGGTCTGACTAGGAAATGTGTATAGAAATTTCAAATAAATGTGGCTGCAATTAAATCACTCTATTTTCTTTATTTACCATCAGTCAACAAAACAAAAGTTCCACTGGCTCATTGTCTATGGACAATACAGATGCCTCTGGGATAACTATGAACAGCATATGAATGGGTGAGCTGTTAATTATTTTTGTTCTCATACAGCTGATATGTAAAAAGTATAGTTTCTCTTCACTTAGAAATGACATAATGAACAGTCACCAAGAGGATGATTCTACCGACATATGCCAAATCTTTTTAAAGCCATCCAAACTTAAAGCTACTATCCTGTTGTACAGTAAAACTGCTAATGTAATATGGTTATTGAATCAACACATATCAACAAATCAACAAAAATCAAAATTAACACTGACTCATAAGAAACACAATAACCCTTGCCTATATACCAAAGCTCAGACAATGAGAATTAACATTAAGTTTTTTGTACAGGAAGATAATGTGACAGACAGCACTGAAATTTGTTTGGATACTCTGGATTGACAAATGGTAGAAGAAAGAACAAGGGAATCTGCTGTTCTAGTATTACAAGTGGGGAAGAAAGGGGGAGGGAACCCACCAGTTAGGGACTCTGTGAACTGCCACTGAGATGAAATACTGTGGCCAAAGTGAAGGGAGGATTGAAATTGGGGGAAGGGTTTAGTAGCCCAGCTTAATTTCCAAGTATGTATGAAATAAACAGCTGGACTCCCATGCTGACTCTCCTGTGTCTCTGCTGAGAAATACTGCATACCTTGCTACCTTCAGCCAGACATTGCTTTCTTTCATTGCTGTTCAAAGTTTCAGCCCTGCAAAGCAAAACTGCTGTGTTTCTGCTCTGCCTGGTGTTCAGGATCCCAGCATCCTTTCCCTTTTTTAGTAGCAAGTATCAAAAGAATCTGATACTACATTATAGGTAGTCCTCACCTTATAACCATTTGTTTAGTGCCCATATGAAGTTCCAATAGCACTGAAAACAGTGAGTTATGACTGTTTTTCACACTTATTACCATTGTAACATCCCCATATAATCAAAATTCATATGTTTGGCAACTGGCACTTATTTATAATAGTTACAGTGTCCTGGGGTCATGTACCAATAATCACCTTTTGCAATCTTCTGATAAGCAAAGGCATTGGAGAAACCAGATTCACTTGACAACTGTGTTATTAACTTAAAAACTGCAGTGATTCACTTAATAACTGTGGCAAGAAAGATTATGAAATGGGAGCAAAGTTCCCTTAACAATTGTCTTGCTTAGCAACAGAAATTTTGGACCCAATTGGGGTCATAAGTAGAGGATTACCTGTATAAGGCAAACTTCCTGCTAATCTGCTTTTAGGAATTATTGTGGTTTATCATAAACTTTAATTGGTTTTTTAGGGGGGGGGGCTCCAAGACTCTGCTACAAGCAAAATAATACTTGAATTTGTTTAATGTTAAAAGGTAGGGTAAAAGCA